CCCGACGCCGCCAAATTACAGGGGCAGGCAGCTATTGTAACTATGGTGGTACGGAAATTGATAGGGGATACCACCACAATCCTCTTCAAGTTAAAGAGTATCCAATAATCAATTGCCAACTACTAATGGTACTCCCTCACAAATGGTGAATGTTGATCACAGTAGCTATGAACACAGAACAAATCCTTACAGGACTGCATCAACCCATCAACCCTTGGGGTTTGTAGCCCCTTTAGCTGATGGAAGGGGAGCACGAACTGAAGCTGTTGCTCTTCCCAGGTACTCGAGGCAATGGAAGGTCAAGGGGTCTCCATGACAGATCCTGACCAACCTCATACGCAGACAATGGCCAGACCGGATGGGTATCTCATGTAAGATCCTTTTTCGTTGTATTGATGTATCAGCGCAATATCAGAAGTTTATTTGAAGCTCTCTATTTATTGCTTCGACGCCCTTTAAGTACATCTTCATATTACAGCTGCGTATCATGTTATTTTTGAAGTTAGTTTGAGGCTCTCATATTTCTGCTTGGATGCTCTCGAAATATACTTATCTTGTACCTTTATATTTGGCCCTCTCATTGTATTGTACTGGTTCATCAAAACTTTGGTAGCCTCATCTCCATCTCTAACTTATCACTTGAGTAAGATCTATGCAGACACTAACAGGTAGCTGGCATTTGTTTTATCTCGTCCGCCTTTAATTGCGTACTTTTCTCACCTGTGACCATGCCTGCATGAAGTGATTGCTCTTGTGATTAGGATGTTCCATTTTTCTTGCTAAGTGGCATAAATACCTAAGGAAGCTAGGGTGATTATCATGACCTTTTGAAGCTGAAACATGCTTCATAAAAATGCTCGTCGCTTGGATGACGATGCCTTGTTATAGGATGCACTTTTCAATTTCTGAATCTTTTGAATGATGATGGCTTGCTATTTGGAGGGTTATATCATTTGGTGGATAAATGTTAAAAGGAATCATAAAGTTTAATGTGCTGTTGGGAAATCAACACTAATACACGCTTATTTCGCAGGGAAGGGCTTTCAATGATTCAAGGAATTTGTTCAATCAACACCATAACATGAGAGCAGACGTTGATAGCGTGAGCTATGAGGTTAATATTCTTCTCCCTCCCTGCCTGTTTTGAGTTAATTTCTGAGTTTTTCTCACCAAATAATTTGGCATCAGTTGTTAATATAACTAGTTGCTTGGTTGGTGCAGGAACTGCTTGCTTTGGAAGAGAGGATTGGGAACGTAAGCACAGGTTTGTCTGGAGCTGATATCTCTAGGTAAATAGTGGAGGCGAAATACCGTTCACCAAATCAAGTTCAAGAAGAGGAAGAAGAGAAATTTTGTGTAATATGCTTGGTAGGCCTCTCCTTGGTTTAGGGCTCATTGTTCTACTTTCGATTGCTATTGTTCTTTCGACTTGAAATGAGAATGCTAAAAGGGTTAATTGCGGATAGACCATCCTGTACTATCAATCGAACTTACTACTCTTGTATCTTTATTTTCGCAGATCGACTCCCTAAAAAAAATTATTGTTGCAGAGAGACCCTATTGTTGCAGAGACCCCCCCCTCCCCCCCTCTCTGAAATGGGTCAAAAAATATTCAGTACAGGGTCTACCTGCAACAATAGAACTGCAGGGGTAGTGAGTTCAACTTGGCGAGAGTTCAGGGGGCTACCCACAATTAACCCATGCTAAAAACTTATGTTAGTTTGAAATCCCTAATGGTACTGTTTATGAATTGATACTGCAGGAAGCGTATAAAGAGGAGAGTGTAGGGAGACTTGCCTGCAGGCACGATTTCCATTCCGGCTGCATCAAGGAATGGTGGTCGATCAAGAAAGTATGTCCGATATGCAAGGCCTCAGCTTTACCTGCTACTTTGAAGAAGAAGTAAACTGTTTGCTTCTCTCTATTAAATGTTAAAGATATGCTCTGTCACTTAGTAAATAGGCTCGCATTAATGGGGGACTGTACAGAATCATATAGAGATGTAAATTACATTGTACTTTTCTCTTGCCTATCGAAATTTTTGGGTTATGTATACAACTGTACAGACTAAAATCTGGAAGCTGCACTGGTATTTTATGATGATAGCAGATGCATTGCAGGTATATAAGTGAATAGAAACTTGGTCTCATATATATATCTAGTGCAGATATCAGTTTCAATTCCATAACGGTGATATACAACGTGCACGAGCATTTCACATGTGTAAAAAAGCCTTAAAGCAGACATTTCAAATATGAAATCTATGAGGTAATGAAGAGTAAAGTAAAAATTCTTGAGCGCGCACACCTCCCCACATTAAAAGCGACTGATGCACTAGCTTCACAACATCTGTTGCACAAGATGATTAATGCTGCTTTGGCTCTAAGCTCATTCTTCTGCATTTTTATCCCCGGTGGCTGACGATACCCTTCCCCATAAGCTCGGAAACAACAACTCAGTGTTCACCGCATTCGCTCTGATCCCAAAATTAACTCCACCCATCACATTCCTCCCTGAACCATACCCACCATCGCTCTCTTCCTCACCCACTGTTGCCTCGCATGTCTCTCTGTGTATCGCATAGCTTTCCTTCCTGCAGATTCACAGCAGATCCCAAATCACAACTACGCATTCCGAGCCCAAACAAGGATAAATAACATGTGATCTTTTGCGCTTACACTTTCAGTAACACTTATCATCCTTTAATGCGTGAAGGAGGTTACAACATCAGGAATTTATCCTTCTAAAAGCATTTGAGTTTAGAAATGATAAATGCCAATTAACAAATTGTGGGGCGATAAATGCTACTGCAGGTATAAATAACAGATTTGTACTCATAAATTTCACAAAAATACCATGGACTTCTTTGAGTTCTGCATAATGCTGTCATCAACTTTTTTATCACATAAACCTGAATATTCAACACTGCAGAAATATCATGGATTACCTAAAAATTTCGTTAGTTACGATAATGGTTTGACAATAGGTCTAAACTACCCCTAAAATAGGAGAAAGCAAAGGACTATGAAAGACATATAAAAGATAGAATTAATTAAACATAGACGCCCTGTTGTGTCATGTTTTTCTGAATTTATTACCCCTATAGTTTAATTCCGACGAATAAAACCCCCGAGCCAATTTTTTTTTGACTCTATTCTAAGGGGTTCAATGTGCAACTAACTACTAACAATTAGGACTAATTACATTCCGGTACTCTAAAGTGCTGTAATCTACACAGGCGACCCTGAAATTTGCGAATCTACACAGGTGACCCTGAGATTGCTTATTTTAATCACAGAGCTGACTAACTCCTCTTGTTTGCTTTTCATCGAATTGAAGTTCCTTTTAGTTCTTAAGTAGGATTAGCGCTAGGGTTACAGCAAGGATTAGAGTTATGGTTAAAGGCTATATATAAGAAGAAGAAAAATGTTTAGTACGGATTAGGGTTATAACAACAAAACTTTGGGGGAGTAATTGTTGTCATGACCATAATAAGCCTAACCCATCCCTACTCCTACTCCTAACCCTAGCCAAAAACCCTGCTCAAACCCTAACGCTAGCTGCTGACATCCAACGCCAGCTCCAAATCAACAAAAATACAGATAATGCTATAATATAGCTTAAGAGGGCGGGAATGCGATCAATTACAAGCTCAAGCAATTCGATCGAGCACCTTTCGAACAGGGTCCCGCACCCGCAGCACTCGAAATCCCTCCTCCTCGGCTGCCGGCAGACCTGACGTGGGCCCTCCAGTCCGTCCTCAACCGCGTACTTCTCAGGCACCTTCGCTCTGCATCCCACCTCCTCTCCTCCCCGTGCTTCCTGCAGTTGGCTTCTTGATCCCCGTCAGGTCCCCCAGAGCCGCGCCGGATCATGATAACGCAGCCCTCCGCGGGGCCAGACGTACACCCTCTTCTCGCGCGCGGCCGCCCGCCTCCTCCCTCGGCCGGGCGGCGTGCTTCCACGTGTATGTTGTGCCCCCGCCGGTGGATCTGCAGGTTCTGGTCCGCGCCGGAACTCTTGCCGCAGACGTCGCAAGCGACACGTCGTCGCCGAGAGGAGGCGTCGCCGGCGAGAGCGCGATGCACCTCCGCGTCGGATCTGCGCACAGAAAAAAAAAGAATCGGAGAATCAGGGGTCAGGGCTGGTTTCTAGGGTTAGGTTTTTGGGGTTAGGGTTAGGGTCGGGTCATTATTTTGCCTGGAGTGCCTGGGAGATTGCGCTTGCGTTGGCCGGTGGAGGTTGGTTGGTGGTGGGGTTTAGGGTTATCAGGGTTTGGGGAGGAGCTCCGGCCATGGCGACGAGTAGGGTGTGCCTGAGGAGGCGCGGCTGGGTCCGGCGTTGGGGAGTGAGATGAGGATGGTGGGACGAGAATTGAGTTTGAGCTTATCGCGGTTCCAGCCGTCTTAGTTTTGGGGGCGTGGGGTTGGGGGGGTATGATGACCCGCGGGCTTATCTGGTTACTCTAGCTGGCGTGGCATCAGGTTAGATCGTACGTCCCCAGCACACTTGACTCGCTTTCCCGTAATTATAATATTAACATTAAAAAGTGGTTAAAATACGCTGATTCATCACTTTCCCGCGGGGGGTGGGTTAACTAGTCCCAGATTTGATGCGGTAATTACTTCCTAATAATATTTTAAAATGTTATCTAAACAAAAAAAAAGTAAATAAAAATAAAGAATTTTTATTTTTATTATTTCTAAAAATATATGAAACGGATAAAAAAAATATATTTTTACTATTTCCTACTTCATAGTTTTAAAAGTTACTTCTATAACCTACTTCTTACTTCCAATACTTCCATTATCCAAGCAGGCCCTGAAGCACGAGCTATTCTTTTGGGTCTTCGGTTTGCTCACTCCAAGACTTGGAAGGACATTACTTTAGAATCTGATTGCCTCTCTTTAGTGCTCATGTTGCATGGTGCTATCAGTCATCCTCAGGACATATCTGATATCATGGCTCTATGTTGGTCTCTCCTAAAAGAGTTCAACTCCTCCTCAGTCAACCATGTTAGAAGATCGGGCAATATTTGCGCTCACGATTTAGCTCAGTTCGCTTGCAGATATTTGTGTACCACTTTTTCTGATTTTATTGTTGGTCCAGATCATATCTGTATTGAACTTATTCTTGAAGCATATTTCATCTACTGTTTATGATACAGTAAATCACTGTAGCATAAACAGTAACTTCAGGTGCAGAGAATCAGATTTGATTTACTGTTTATGATACAGTGTTTATTATAGAATTTACTGTTGCATGAACAGTGATTTTTTGGCTTCTCCTTTAAGTATAGACTAGTCCATAATATGAGGCATTCTTTTATTTTCTATTATTTTTTTAATCCTGCATATCCCTGAAATTAGTTTCTCCATACAATAAAGTTACCATTAGCTCCCTCAATTTTTAAGTTTTTGAATTAGTCTTCTGACTCATTAAAATGGCTGTTAGGTCCTTACTTCTAATAAGTTATTCTAATTTGTCCCTTCCATCAAGAATGTAAGAAGTAATTTGAGGGATTAATTTGATAGGGACCAAACAGCTATTTCAATGATATTGAGGGGTTAATTTAAAATAACTTAAGAATTGACCAAATTCAATGATTTAAGAATCTATTTCAAATAGCCTAAGAATCAAAAGCCTCATATTGAAAAACAGCTAATATAATGAAGATGGAAAATGACTGCTATATAAATAAGAATTGCGGTAATCACGAACTTTCATGTCTCAAAAGTCATCATTTTTATTTATTCATGTTGAAAATGAGTAGCAACATCTTATTTCAAGCTTTCATCACTTTTAATTGTTTGTTTGTAGTTGTAAAAATAATGTAAAATGATTTCATATGCTGATGTGGCTTGTAAAGTGATTTCATAAAAAAAGACACGATTTTAGGAGAAAACTGACATTAAAGTCAGGAAAAAATAATAAAAAATAATTCCAACCAATATGATCATTTGAGTAGGGGCATTTTTTACATTTTCCAAACAAACAATTAAAGTTATATTTGCAAACCAGACAAGCAATTTATGATTCCAATGGAATCAAAAAACAAATAAAGAAAAGTATAAAAGTGAAATTGATGAGGTGGACAACAACTTTCCTACTTGTGTCATAAATACAAAATTTTACCAACAACAACCAAACAGCCCCTTAGTGGATGTTTGGTTGTATGTTTTTACCATGTAAAAGGATGAAAAGTGTAAAAAAGTGGGTCCCAATGTTAGCTTTCATCACTTTCAATTGTTTGTTTGTAGTTGTGAATATAATGTAAAGTGATTTCATATACTGATGTGTCTTGTAAAGTGATTTCATAAAAAAAGATATGATTTTAGGAGAAAGCTGACATTGAAGTCAGAAAAAAATAATAAAAAATAATTCCAACAAATATGATCATTTGAGTAGAGACACTTTCCAAACAAACAATTAAAATTACATTTGCAAACCAAACAAGCAATTTATGATTCCAATGGAATAAAAAACAAATAAAGAAAGGTATAAAAGTAAATTTGATGAGGTGGACAACAACTTTCCAAGTTATGTCATAAATATACAACTTTACTGACAATAACCAAACAGCCCCTTAGGGCTGTTTGTTTGTATGTTTTTACCATGTAAAATGATGGAAAGTGAAAAAAAGTAAGTCCCAATGTCAGCTTTCATCACTTTACATTGTTTGTTTAAATTTTCTTTTACATGAAAAACTTACACCTTTTGATAAGGTGTCACCGAAAGTAAAATCACCAAAATTAGGAGTGATTTTGTTAGAAAGCTAACACAATGTCATAAATGTGTCCAAAAAATTAATAAAAAAAAAATCAAAACCTTGTAAAAAGTGGTGAGGTGGATAATCACTTTCCATTTTGTGTCATAAATACTCTAGTTTACATTATACTATCCAAACAATGTAATACTATTATTTCAGGATTCACAAAAATTACTAACCAAACAATGTAAACACTCGAATGGAAAGTGGTGAGATGGATAACCACTTTCTATTTTGTGTCATAAATACCCTCGTTTGGTACGCGGGAATGGACAGATTTGGGAATGGAATGAAAGAAGGAATGGAATGGATTGCATGTGTGAATGGAATGGTCATTCTCATTATCTTGTTTGGGTGCGTTCGTAGAATGAAGCTGGAATGGAAATCTCATTCCCATTCCCATGTTTGGTATCACTAGTACACAAGTGAGAATGGAATCTCATTTTCTAATAATGCCCTTACAACAACATAGATTTTTAATAAGATAAAAAATAAACATTAATGATAATAACTAAATAATTTTATATACGCATATGTTATATTAATCTAGGTATGTGTTATACTAATGCTCGTGTTATCCATCAGGTGTATGTTTCGTTTATATTTTTTAAACAATACTCGCTATTTCTTATTCTTAAAAATTAAAGAAAAATAAAAAAAAGATTATCGTATCTTTCATAGGTCCAAAAAAAAGGAATGATATCCACAATCCACAGTTCTAGATATATAAATTAACTTATTTGATAAAGTATCAAAATCACTCAATTCATAATAGCAAAAATCCATAAAACAATACCAACTAAAATAATAAGTTTCGAAATAGCAAAATGATATACTAGCCTAAATTGTCAATCTAAAATTGCCCACTTGCATAGCGCCTCACCCAAACATTCTTTATTATTAATATGGATATAATTGAAAAATACCGGTTAGTACCAATCGCCCCTATTGCTGTCAAACATTGATCCATAGGTAAATTCATATTCATTACGTATTCAGTAAACCTCTTTCTCTTCTCAGTCAAAGCCACTTCATCTAACCCATCCTTAATTAACTGGCTCGACCTAAAAAGTTCACTTCCTACATATGCAGAAGATTCCCGCATTATCTCGAATGACTCGCTATCCCGCATTATCTCGAACAATATGAGAACAATTCAGGAAAATTTTCAGGAAAAAAATTGATTCACGTAGATATAAAATCAATAAGCACTAGAAAGATTAAATAATTTTGGAAACTAATCGCACCTGATCGCGCTTGCGAGAGACCGATAGGAGATCACAGTTTCGCTCTTCGTCAATATCGCCAAAGCTACCAAAGGCGATGAAGTAAAATGAGAGGCTTTTTATTTCGGTGCAGGGAGAGAGAAAATGTGATTTTTATTATTAATATGGATTCCCTAATCGTAGTCATTAGATTGATTTTTATTATTAATATGGATATAATTGAAAAATACCTAACTAGTTTTTGATTCTCACTTGAATGGGAATGACCATTCCTTATCTTCTCATTTGGAATGCTCATTCCCACAAATAGTGGGAATGATCATTCCTAGGGAATGTTCATCCCAACATCTAAAATATAGGTGTGTTTGATATGAGGGAATGAGAAGTGGGAATTACATTCCATTCCTCCTCATTCCCGCGTACCAAACGAGGCGAGTTTCCTAAAGGCACCCAAACAGCCCCTTATGCCTCGTTTGGTACGCGGGAATGGACTCAAATGAGAATGGAATTGAAAAATGAACGGAATGGAATTAATATGAGAATGAAATAGTCATTCACATTCTCACGTTTGGGTGTAATTTATAAAATAAAGTGGGAATAGACGTATTTTAAAATTATATATTTTATTGATTTTCATTTATGTGAGAATGCTCATTCCTTATCATTTTATTGAGAATGTTCATTCCCACATAAAGTGGGAATTGATGAGAAGTGAGAATGAGCATTCCAACTTCAAAAAGAGGATGTGTTTGGTAGGAAGGAATGTGAAGTGAGAATGACTATTTCATTCCACCCCATTCTCGCTTACCAAACGAGGCTGTTGTGTTTTCCTAATTATTCTATTTATTAATCTTTTTTCTGTCTAATTTTTTCCTCTAAAATCTAATAACAGGCATCCAAATCCTAAAAACGAGGGAAGAGAAAAGGGGGAAAAAAAGAAAAAGAAAAGAATTTAATCAATCAATCGAAATAAAAAAAAATCCCCTTTTTTATTTAATGGGGAGTTACAAATACGGGCTCATCTTCAAGAAGAAATTCCGATGGACGGAGGTCGAAGCCCCCGCCGACATCAAGGCGGCCTTCGAGGGCCTACGCCGGCGGCGGCGGCGGGCCCACATGACCACCGACGAGCTCCGGCGGTTTCTCGCGAGGAGCAGGGCGACTGCTCCGTCAACAGCCGCCGACGCCGTCGAGCACATCCGCCGCCTCGAACACTGGTAGCACCGTCGGCAAGGCGTCGAGGCCTCTCCTCGGCCTCGACCATTTTCACCATTTTCTCTTCTCTGAGGATCTCAACCCTCCCATTGGATCAAAGGTTTGAACCCCTTGTTATTTTTTATTTTATTATTACTATTATTATTATTATTATTATTTTGCTCTGTTGGGAAATGAATTTTGACTTTGCTTTGTCCCACATAGGGAATTTGTATTATTATTTAAGTTTGGATTTCAAAACAAACACCCAAGTTGTCTGAGAATGATCATGTCATATTTTGGTACTATAAGAAGTAGAGATAATTAAGGGTCTACTTAATGATGATATTTTTGGTTTGGCAAAAAACTGGGCCGGAATCGGTCCAATTCCTTTAGGCTATAAAATGTTGGCTATAAAAGGTAGAGACAAAAGCTTTGTTGTTGTTGTCGTCGTCTTTTATATAGAAAAGTGTCATAAAGCAACTTACCAGACTTTTGACTCTTTACCCCCTGTGTTGATACCATCTTATCATGATAATGTGGTATTAAGTCGATCATTGATTTGATTTGTTCGATTGATTATTATCTATTAATGTTGGAGATGCTTTTCGTGCACATTTACGAACATAGATATTTCATCTTTTTGTTGGCCTTTGGAAGATTACCATATCAATTATGTATACCCTAAAAACTAGAATGTACTAATATCCTGGTGAGTAAATTGTCACTTGTATCAGTATCTGCCCGTCTTTTGGAAATATGACTTATTTAAGCAGTTTTACATTTACTGTGGAAATCTAGTTGTGTCATTCTCAGTTAAGGTAATGCTTTCTTCAGGTTTACCAAGAGATGACTGCTCCATTGTCACATTATTACATATATACAGGCCATAATTCATACTTGACAGGCAATCAGCTGAGCAGCGACTGCAGCGACGTCCCTATCAAAGAGGCGTTGGAGAGAGGAGTTCGAGTTATTGAGCTGGATATGTGGCCTAATTCTAAGAAAAATGATATTGATATTCTTCATGGGAGGTATCATTAAATTCCCTAAATTACTTTTTGTGAGATATGAAGAGTATAAAGAACAAATGAACGGAAAACCTCTTCCTCCCTTTGCATGCTTAAGGAACAACCTTCAACGATTAGTAGATTACTTATCAGATAAAATAAAAATCTTCTGCCTGGATTCAAGATAAAATTCATTTTTCCACTTTATCAAGATAAAGTTCAAGATAAAAATGGTGATTATAACTGATAGATAACTGTTGCATAGAGATTTCTTTTTTCTTTTTTTCTTTCTTGTCTTATCCAGTCTATGTATCCAAGAAGCTTGAAGTAGTATTGTGAGGTTTTATGACTAGAGCTTACAGAGGAAATGGATATATGTAGCTAACATCTCCTGCTAAAAGCTTTGTTCGTGTTGTTCCTTTTTATATCTTTCTTTTGTTCCTGTGCTTCTGTTTGTTATTAGTGCTACTTTAATTCTGTTGATAATATAAAGCTGTGTTATCTTTTGTATCCAATTTGCTGTTGTTATATTCTTCTATCACTAAACATTTGTTCTTCATTACAAGGACGCTTACTGCTCCTGTAACGCTTATCAAATGTCTAAAAACCATTAAAGAGTATGCATTCTGTGCATCTTCATATCCTGTGGTGATAACTCTCGAGGATCACCTCACTCCAGATCTTCAGGCAAAAGTTGCTGAGGTGAAACCATTTTCAATATAAGAATTACTTGGTACCTTTTCTATGTGTTCTTTACTCATCACTAACAGGTTAATTTTTTTCCCTTTAGATGGTTTCTCAAACTTTCGGAGACATACTTTACTATCCTCAGTCAGATTCTTTCGAAGAATTCCCCAGTCCAGAATCTCTTAAGAATAGGATCATTCTTTCGACCAAGCCACCAAAAGAGTATCTTAATTCTCATAAATGCTCCAAATTAAAGAGAGGTGCATCTCAAAGGGAAAAGGAAAATGATGATAGGTGGGGAAAGGAGGTTACCGACCTTAAATCTATACTTGAATCAACTAAGGTACGTGGTTAAATTATATTCCCACAGTTATCACATTTTAGCATCACACAGCTTCTAAAGTTTTGCGGATTGTGAACAGAATGAATCCGTACAGGATGAGGAGGACGTTGATAATGAGGATGATGATGGTTTGAAGCCGAATGCACCTCTTGAGTACAAACATCTTATCACAATTAGAGCTGGGAAGCCAAAAGGTAATTTGAGACATTCACTAAGAGTGGATCCCGGTAAAGCAAGGCGTCTTAGTTTAAGTGAACAACAGCTTGTGAAGGCAGCAAAAGATAACGCTGACGATTTAGTAAGGTATATTAGTTTCTTCAGAATCATTTGTATTTTAGAGATGTCATAGTTTGAATAGGTCTTCGATGTGAAAATCACAGGCATGACATTTTAAAGGATATCTCCCAGAAGAGATCATACAAATAACCACTATATGCAACTTAACATGGTTACTGTCTTTTTTTTAATCTCCTCAACATGAATCTTTAGGTTTACTCAGAAGAATATGCTCAGGATATACCCAAAGGGTACACGTTTTGACTCCTCTAACTACGATCCGTTGATTGGATGGATGCACGGTGCTCAGATGGTTGCATTTAATATGCAGGTTAGCTTCTAGCATACAAATTGATAATGTCGCTGTAAAATGTTCAATTGCATCTTCATTACAATGTTCAACTGTTATCTTCATAAACAATCATGTTAATGGAAATGTTTCAGTGTTCTTTTTAGCAAACAAGGAATAGCAGTCGCAGGTCCTACCCACTTGTTGACCTGTTTATAGAATTCTCATTTAGTTACGCCTAGTTCATACCTCGGTTTTGTATCGATGAATCTATGAAGGAGCTCAGAAAGCATATGGGTAATAAACTATAAGGTTATATCTAGAGATCCTGATATCATTTTGCAGTTAAAACTAGAATATAGATTAATTTTCATGTTTCCATGTAAAACATTTATATTCTTTTTTCCTTCCAAGGCCTAACGTCTTTCCCATTAATTTGAAGGGACATGGAAGAGCATTATGGTTGATGCAAGGATTTTTTAGGGCCAATGGAGGCAGTGGTTATATCAAAAAACCCGATTTTTTGTTGAATCTCGGTCCCTATGGTACCGTGTTTGATCCCAAAGCAGATTTACCAGTGGAGAAAACCCTAAAGGTATAAACCATTATTATCGCTATGAGTTTAAACATTTTCCACATTCTCGTTTTACCGTTTAATATTTTGTTCGACTTCTGGTCTTTAAATAGGTTAAAGTCTACATGGGAGATGGATGGCGCATGGACTTTAGTAAGACTCACTTTGATTCATTTTCTCCTCCAGACTTCTATGCAAGAGTAAGGACCCCGTATCTGTTTCTTCGTTTTTTGATTCATGAGACGTTTGTATATAGTTGTAACTTTTTAAATGCACAAGTCTTCATCTTCTTGTTACTAGGACTTTGTCCTAAGAAATCTTTGGCGCTAGAATGTTTGTTTGTCAAATGCGGTGCATTATGCTCGGAGTCATAGACCTACTATCAATGTCATTTGATACATCGTAGTTATAGCGCATTGATTTCGCAAGTCGTGCAAACTCAACACGTCTGTGAGACTGCTTGTTTTGTTGTCCTTTTATATCGATTCCTC